GAAGTGTGCAAAAAGTATCTGAAAGGGGTAAATATCTTCTTGAGAAAGTGCACTTGCGTGGTCGTAAATGAGAAGGTCCTTGGCCTATGTCATTCATTCATGCCCCCATTTCATCCAATCAATTTTCCAACACTGAATTGGTTCGAAGTCGAATTTGGAAACCCCCTAGTAACCTCTGTTCATTAGAAAACGATGATATTACAATGCTACATTGGCAGCAAGCCGTTCAACAATAATGTTTTTCATGTTGTACATGTTTTTTAATATGTGGACTTATGGTTTTAATGGGGATATGGCTTTTAACATAGCATAATTTATAGAGCCGACCCCAAATAGTTGAGAAAAGCCTTTAATGATGATGATAATAATGTTACAAGATTGATAGTAATGTGAATGGTACTGTTTTGTTTATGCATATGAGATGCACAACATTGAGGAGGTGATGACCTTGGGTATACAAAATGCAAATTGAAATACAACATTAAGGAATGTCCAGAAGGAATCACCACTCACAGATATCAACAATAAAAATAAAGTCTAAACCATAGAAGTATGCCCATCCATAAAAATTTGACCCAGTCAGATGATCATATGACTTTTCCCTACCATGAGGACTTCAATAAAGGGAGCCATGTTGCACCACCTTCCACCCTCAAATAAAGAGAGAGTGACAGAAAGACAGAGAATGTCAACAATGGAGAAGCTTTACATACATTCTATTTCAAGAAATTTTATTGAAAAATACATTCAAATACAAATTACTAAATAAAACAAGAAACAAATTAAATTAATTACATTACATAAGTTCTATCATACTAATTAAATAATAAGAATTAAAATAATAATAATTACTTATAATAGGTCCGGCATTTCTAATGCCGAACAACTTAAGAATTTAAGTGTCTGACTTTGGAAACACCCAACAGCAAGATTGCTCGGTATTGCAAATATTGGACAAGCCCTAAGTAAGAGATATTTTTAATAAGTTAGAGCTATAGAGATACTTTTAATAAGTTAGAGCTGTCTAGGGGTTGGTAGTAACAAACATGCCCTTATTACTAGAGATGGCCAAAAACTTGCGAAATTTCCTACATGTCTGGTATTAAAAATACTTGATTTATGGGTAATTCTAAGGGGGAAAAAAAGGCTAAGGGTGGGGCGTGGTCATAAACGTATGGAAACTTTGTCCTTATGTAATTTTTCCTAAAATCAACGGGGATAAATAATACAAAATAAAAGCTTAAAATTGTTTTTTATTTTTTAGGCTCAAGCTTTATTATCTTTTTCATATTGATGATCGTAAGGGTCAAGATTACTGATTTGTAGAATTTTGATGGAGATCTATAACTGTAATGGATGTTTTGAAAGAGACCAGGAAATTTGTATCCTTAACATATTTCTTTCTTTTGACTTGAATGGTCATCTAATCATGCTAAGACTAAGGAAAAGCATAACTTCAGGGCTTGCTGAGCCTCAATATTCAAATGACTACAACTAATCCACTAATATAACTGTCACATGCATTTCATTGATTTATTACTGAAATATCACACTCTCTCTACAAGTTTAATTGTTATCATGATTTTGATGGTGCCAAAGATTGTTTGGCTTGAGTAATTGGTGGAAGACAAGAATGCGTAGAGAGAGGTTGGCTAGTTATATATAGTAAGGGGTTGGGTGGAAAATCATCCATAAGAAGGAAGGCTTGCGAAAAGGAAAAGCCTCTGCTGTATCTTGTTTCCCATCTTTGTCAACCCCTTAAAATATAGGGCAAGCTTTCTATATACTTCCCTTCCAGCATAAAACTTGTATATTTCTTTTTATTCAACCGTCCATTATTTGTCCGCCTCTTAAAATATAGAGCAAGCTTTTTATGTTTCCCTTCCGGCATAAAACTTATATATTTCCCTTTATCCAACCATCTATTTTGAATGGAGGGCTAAGATGGCCCCAATCACAATGCCACGTCTCTATACTATTTTATTTTTAATTTTTTTATATAAACTATTTTGATACCAAATTTTGTATTTCCAATCCTCTATTAAACTCGCATTAGAAAAAAAAATATAAAAACAATATTTTCAGTAAAATAAAATTATCAAAATACTTTTGAAAGTTTCAAAGGGTATTTTGGTCATTATATTTTATCAAAATTTTATTTTTAATATTTTTTATAGGTGTGCCCCAATACGAAGATAGCACGTACTAAATTTCATATCCATCAAATTTGTATAAAAAAAATTTACAATAAAATACTTTGAGACGTCCGATCTAAGATCAAACGGTGAGTGCCTCTCTTGATCAAAATTGGACAGTTGGATGGTAAGGGAAGCATAACGGTAGGGGAAGTATAGAAACCTTTCCCATTCACACAAGTTAAAGAGGTTTCATGGTCCCTTGAGTATAATGGTCCTTTCGAAAAATATCTTATCTGGGAGTACTTTAATGATCTAAATATTTAATAACCTAACTCCCTCAATGACAATGACTCAATAAAATAAAATAAAAGAATACTTAGAGTCGTTATATATGTGGAGTATACAGTATGTGGTATGTCCTCATGAGTACACATTATACAATTCGGCAATGATTTCATGCAATCGTTGTATAGTAATATGATGCAATAACCTTAAAAAACCATCTTATGGCCATTTGTTTTATCCAAATTTTGAAATATACAATCTTTTCATTCTAATGGACAATCACAAAAAAAGAAAAAAAGTGAAAA